CCCGGATACCTCCCCAACCCCCCCACCTGTGCGCCGCCTCCAGGTACGTGTTAAGGCTCATGCCCACAAACGCAATCTTGCGGCCGGCCGCGTCCGCAGCCTTCTTGACACTCGCCATGCGGTGCAGGTTGGACGCAAACTGCAAGGAGAGGGTGTGTGTGGAGTTTCGCAATTATGTTTTGTGTGAATGTGTGAGTGTGTGAACGTGTGTGTGTGTGTGTGTGTGTGTGTGCAAGTTGCTTGCATTGTTTGTGTGCATGTGTGTGTGTGTGTGTGTGTGTGTGAGAGAGCGATATATAGAGGTCGAACGTCCTATGAGTTTGAGGAGATGGCCGCCGTGTGGGTGCCGCCAAAGCACTATCATGCGCAGCTGCGAGGCCGCTTTCGCGCCAGCAGGAGAGCCGTTCCCCGGCCACCCACTGGGGCCCCTCACAGCCCGCCGCACAAACCCCGGCCTCATCCCACCCCGACTCAAAGCAAACAGGGTGCCCCGGGCTCAGGCGGGCGGCCCCTCACCTGTGTGCATATGACGCGCCCCTTGCCGGCGTGGCCCAGCACGCGCGCGGCCAGGGCGGCCTCCACCGTCCGCTCGCTCGTGGTGCGGCCGGGCGCGAGGACGTTGGTGGAGTCCGACATCATGAGCGCAATCGGCTCCTTGTCTGGCGGTTGGCGGCGGTTGGATGGCGGTTGGCGACGGTTGGTGGCGGTCGGAAGTGAGGTTGAAGGACACGTGGTTGTCGGGGGGGGGGGGGTTCTAGCGGCGAGGTGGTGGTTGGCATCGGCATTCAGACTGACCCTGTGGCCACCTCCGGTCAAACCACTCGCCACACCCTTTCAGCAGATCAACCAGCACACCGTCACAGGGTTTTTGAACCACCAAATCCCCGCAGCCACCCAGCATTCAGGTCCCTACATTTCGACGGGGACCGGAGCCGGAGCGCCCGGTCAAACCCCGGTCAAACCCGATCAACCGCTCACGCAGCAGGTCGAAGCTCTCCCGGTCAAACGCCTCCCCGTCCACCGGGTCCTCGTCGATCTTCCAGTCCCCTGTGTGGACTATGGTGCCGTGCTCAGACCGCATGATGAGGCCGCAGCAGTCCGGGATGGAGTGGGTCACGCGGATGGGGGTGACCTCAAAGGGGCCCATCTGGATGGGGCGCTTCATGTCCAAAACATGAAACCTGGTGAGGAT